GGGGGGTTATGGGAGAGTGCATAGTTGCCAGGTGTTTCCGTAAAAGCCGTTGGAAGGAAGGCGGCTTGATGAGTGAACTGAAATGATTTGAGTGCAAAACTATTATGAACAGCTCTGAATATTCGCCTCTCAAGGTGTCATGAGTCGCGATTACGTGAGGCAGTGTCATGCTGCAAAGAACCGGCAGCCAAGGAAGCGCCGTAGCGCATCAGATAGGATGCATATGGTGGAATTTAGCTCCATGTCAATCCACCTGACGTGAGACGACCGAGCCCAAACTGTACAATGATACTCAGCCGAGGAGTAACAGAGTACCAAGGCTGAAATTCGAGGCGCATCGACGTTTTCTTCCCACCAGGTCCCTACCAGCATGTGGACGAGATTGTTCCGTGACCTACCTCAGTTTCGTCGAGGTCTCAATCAAATGATCGATAAAGTACAATGAACAATATTTTGCGACGCCGAGGTACACGGATAGATCGTGTTTCGTTCCGGTGAAAAAGGGCGAAAACTGTTTTCCTGTCGTTCAGTACCATTCGCCACTAGTCGCCAACTCGTCATTGAGCGTCATCTGGCAAGAAGTACGACAAAAACGACGTGATTTCCGACCTCATGTCCGACACTGACCGAATACCGAAAGGCGGCAAAAAACTAAACTGCCACAGTCGAGACTCAAAAGTACACCACCCAGATTTGGGTTGTAAACTTGGTCGGAATAGAAACAACTGGAAAGTGTCACCAATCAATCAGTAAAGTGTCAATCATTAAAACCTGATCACCAGAACTTACCGTTAGCCGTCTGCAAGCCTTGTTTTAACTTCGAACTGTTCGTCGCTGCGGGCGGCGACGCTAGCTGCGGTGACGCGTCCGGGGTCAAGTTCACGACCAGTGCCTCGGCAGGGTCGCGGTCGACGGCCACTTTTCGATCGCTGCCGCTGGCACTCCATCGTTGCTGCTTGCCGGCCGACCGGAAAGGGGAACGCCGGCCAGACCGCCGCTTGCAGTGGCTCGAGTCGATCGTACTACCGCTGGCGTGTCGACCGTTATTCGCAGGTTTACCAGCTACACATCCCATGCAGATCAACACAAGACCGAGCACTGGTGTTGGTGAGGGAGAGATCGATGACTGAAATCGACGTCGGTGAAAGGCAGGCTATCGCTAGTCCGGTGACTGGTCACTCGCATGACTGCAAAAACCGTAAATGAGGCACCTACTCATTTGCCAAATGACGGACACGCGCGCTCATCGGAACTCTACTATTGCTTGCTGCCTTTACGACTGACAATTGTGGCAGCGGCAGCGGCAGCAGCGGCGGCGGCGGCAGCGGCGGCGGCGGCGGCGGCGGCGGCGGCGGTGGCAGCGGCAGCGGCGGCGGCTCGTCAGCCACGGCGCTACGAGCAACACGAGAGAAGTCGGAGTCGGTTAGAGTCAGAGTTGCAGTCTTGGCGGCACGTGACCGTTGACTAAGCACTCACGCGCGCGCTACTGCGTCCAGGCTGCCGTCGAGGACGCGATGATGGAGGAAACGAGGAAACGAAAAAGCGTCGCCGCTACCGACTAGGTCAGAGGGCCTGTAACGATCGGAGGGTGCAGTGCACACCAAGTGACGACTATGCTATGGATCAACCGGAAGCGGCGACCATCAGAACTCAGCTGGTCGGTCGAAACAGTGCCTAGAGATAGAGGACACGTGCGCACCTCATTGTACCACCTCGTTGTACTCGTACGGCAAGGTGGTATGGATTATTCGTGTTCAAGGGCTGCAATGATGTTGACGTGCAAATCAAAGCTAGATGCGAGCATCGGATCTTGCGACATCTGTGGCAGCTGTCGTCGCCTCTCCCTCCGCCCCTCCCTTTCACTCAATCATGATCGTTAAAATGTGCCACGAGCATCATGAGAACATGAATCGAACAACAGATGGTGGAAAAGATATGATAAAGAAAAGAATGGACGAAGAACGGACAGCGTCGAAGATAAGTCATGGGCCTCGCCGATCGATCGTGCTCCCTCCGTCGCACGTTGCAAAGATCTGATCAGAGTGAGGCGCGCGGGTGCTTAGGCTGGGCGGATATGCTTGTTTTCTCACGGCAAACCCGAGATGGCAACGTCACAGGTTGATTCGACATGCCTGCCGAACGGCTAAAATGAGGCACACAGCGATGATATGTTAGAGTACGAACGGAGGGTTAGACGAGGCTAGGCGAGAGGCGAGGCCGGTCGTGAAGAGGCGCACTGAATGGGCGGCGAAGAAGTACGTACATGAGCGTGCACAATCGATAGATTTTCGTCTGACGCCTGGCGTCGTACGCGCTAAGGATTGCCGCCATGGCGGCGACCAAACAAGTGACTGAGGGCATCCGGATTCGAGTGTCGCAATGTCACCTTGCGAAGCCGGCAGTCGTGCCACGGTGCAGGAAGAGAGAAATGGACAGGCAGTAGTCGTACTCGCAGCACGTGGCCGTTGACTGGAAACGGACCTCTTCGGCCAACCGATCGCAGCGCTCCTCGAAACGACTTTTTCGTCTACTTGTCCGTCACCTGCCTCACATTTGGAGCCAGATCGGTGAACCAAACTACAACGTCATAACGAAGGATCGATAAATTATTAAAATTGAATACACACATGCCTGAGGACAAGACTTTTGATACGAGGGTCGTATCGTCTTCCAACCTCTTAGGTTTGAGCGATCGATACACGCAACAACTCGGCCGGGCGCCGACCAACCAAATAGCTCGCACCACCACCGTGGAACACGTCAGCGATGTAGTGATTTAAATGCAAAATGCTGCATATACACTCACACTACGGGCCGTTGAGCATACCATGCATGACGAAGTAACTCATTCGCTGTTGTAGTTGTTCTCCTCTCACAGTACCTCGTTGAATGCCAGCAATACGGAATCTGTCATAACTTATTACCCATCGGGTGATTGTCAAGACGAATGTAGTGCGTATGGTCTGTGGTTTATGATGTCCACTGTATCTTCATGTTTTGACACTTTTGTTATAATGCGCCGGTTACTGTATAGTAGAAGAAAATATTTCTCTCTGAAAGTAGATCTGCTGCTGCCATATTCTTCCACGTTGCTTGTTGGCCTTCTGATCGACATCTGCCATGGCTGGCACACGGGAGGCTTATGCTTAGAGTAAATGGTGTACGTTGAACCAGTCTATCAAGCATGGTCAAGCTCCTTTATTTAATCTCAACATTTTTCAAGGTCACCTGTGCCCGGAAGACAATAGAGACATTCCTAACCGTCATTATGCGTCGAAGCCAACGCTGTCTGACGGAAGCAAAGTGCAGGTGGATTTTCATGGGATGAGTAACCCATTTTTCAACTCAAGTATTGGACAGGTTCTCAACAGCACTCGAGACAATGACGATCCTCCTATATAACTCGGACTGAATAGTGCCATTGGTGCAAATTGCGTAGCCGAGATACTTCAACTGGCAATCCTTGTTCCCCTTGTAGATCAACGCGCTCTGGATGGGTTCCTCAACTTGTACTTCCGGGCGTTAAGGAAGATACTCACTTTCACAACTGTATTGTATATGAAAACCTTCAGTACCGCTAGCCGTATTACTTACCGAAGCAATTTCATATGTGTACTGCTGTCAGCAAGATGTCTAGCAAGACATCTTGAACTGCGCCTTCCCTTTAGAATGGCACCTTCGTCTCTGACATCGGTCAACATTTTTTCACACAAGGAAGTCGAGAGCAATGTTGAACAGGAAAGGCGAATGCACATCTTCGTGGCGAACTTCACAATTAATAAGGGAACCACTCAGACAACTCTCCTTCAATTCTGGCAGCAAACATGGTTCTTTCATGCGTCTGTTCCAAAGCGAAAACGATGTGCTAGATATCCTACAGCACTTCAAAATTTTCCACATCATTGAACGATGTAACGAATGAAGTGATGCCTTAAAATCGAGGAAAATGGCAAACCAATGCTACTGGAATGGTCGGCATTGCTCTGATGTAACATGGAGTGCATGGCATCACGCTGATCAAGGCAGGAGTACCGAATCCAAAACCCTGCTTGATTTCTACGAAGTCTCCCATCAATTGCCTGCCTCAGCCTTTCGTGGATAATTCGGGAAATGAGTTTGCCGGGAGATTACACGAGTGCGATGGTTTGATAATTGGAATATTCGGTTACCTGACCCCATTGACATGTAGGGACAATTACTCCACACTTCCGTTCTTCTAAGAAAAGTCGCTGTAGGTCCACATTTGATGAAGTAGGGCAACGAGCTCTTCTACCATACTCGTTCCTACATGCTTAACTAACTCCGGCGGTGTTCGATTCACCCCGCAAGTCTTTTTTCACCTTCAGGTGCGGTAAGGCATTTTGGATTTTTGTCGGTAGAACTGTGCCTCGAATAGAAGGTTAACATTCAGAAATGACAAAACGGAGGACATCCATTCAGTGGCTCTGTAAATGCGCAGACCATCTTTTAAGGATTTCTTTCTGACTTGCCAATGGAACACCACTCACGTTTTGAATAAGGAGAGACCGAGGCCCCTGCTGACCTATCCTTTAAATACTGTTCCTCAGTTACCCTTTCTGCCTGCCTAGTCGATTTTTCTGATTTCCCCCTTAAGCCATCGTTCCCCGTCGTCTGGAGCTCTGGTTGACTGTATGAACGAGACGGCGATAAGTTGCTTGGATGGTGCAGCAGGGTTTTTCAATTTTTTCTTCTTTGCCTGATTCCCTTGCACTCTGTGGGCTTGGGTCTTCCCTGTAACCCAGGGTGGTTTCGCTACTCTTTTCCTACCTCAACCACGTTTTTTGGCGATGAAATGACGGCTTTTTAAATCTTGTAAGCTTCATCGACAGTGCAACTTTCCGTCTGGGCACTAACGGTGGAATTAAAATAACTCACAATCACAGCCGACCGTGCCTCTTCGTCATATTTTAGCCTGTCAATATCGAGCAGCCGATGTTTCAATTAGACGGCGTCGGTGCGACACGGTTAATTTTAGACGCATTTCCTCCGACCATATGAAGATCAGACCAAACGCAAGCACCGCGAGTAGCGAGTTGCGCCACTTCCG